AATAACAAACTACTGTCCATCTGGCTGATCAAAAGAAGAGTCTGGACCTCTGTCTCTACTATTTAGATTTAACTCAGCACCACCTACTATGGTCAGAATGTTTGTGTGCCCCTAAAATCCATTATGTTGGAAACCTAACCCCCAAGGCATTAGGAGTTGGGGCCTTCAAGATTACTGCTCTTACAGAAGAGGGCCAAAAAAGCTCCACAACCCCTTCTGCCATATGAGGGTACACAAGAAGTTTTTCACCCAGAAAAAGGCCCTCACCTGACCATGCTGGACTATGAGAAATAAATTTCTTTTGTTTATAAGCCACCTAGTCTACAGTACGGGTTATAGCAGCCCAAATGGATGAAGACACCACCCATGCTCAAAAGCAACAACAGCTCTGTATTATCATCATCATCATTATCATTATTATTGTTAGTAGACTATGTCCAACTTGGGGCTTGAACTCATGACCCCAAGATCAAGAGTCGCATGTTCCTACAACTGAGCCACCCAGGCGCCCCCTAACAGCTCTGCATTAGTTGAAGTTTAGTTCAAAGTCAGTTCAAGTTTAGCATTACAGAATTCAAGAAAAATTATATTAACAGGACTAAAAAAAAGTGTGGTCCACCAAAAAACAAGGAAATTAGAAGCACTTGGAGAAGGACAGCCATTAGCTACAGGAGCATTTACAGTTTGGGGATCTTGATAAGGCTGTATTGTAGAAACAAAATTTGCTAAGAAAGCAGAACTTATGTACTCTCAACAATAACAAAAAGGTAATTTATGTGAAGTAATGGATGTGTTCATTACCTCAGTGGTGGGATGGTGGGAATCCTTTCACAACTTATATTCTACAAAATCATGTTGTACACTTTAATTTCATTTGTCAATTATACCTTAGTAAAGCTGAAAACAGTTTGAATAATTTTAAAAACAAAAAAGAATTTTTGAAGGAGGATTAATATAGGAGTCCATCTTAAACAGACACAACATGGACATTCTATTTGAATTTCAGAAATGAAGATGCAGTGTCAGTGAGGGATACATCTAACCCAGTCACACCTAATTTACCAACCAATCAAGACCCACAGCCAATCTCACATTAACAGTAATGTTGGTGTACGATTACTTGCTTCATCTTAGGTTTATCAGGTCCCTGACTCTGTATCTTATGAGGCTGATGTTAAAAGATACAGGTATTCACCTATATACTTAATATGATTTATGAACCACTACTGCTTTTCACTGTCTTCTTAATCTTCTTAGGTGTTTTCCTCACCAGTCCAAATGGAGTAAAAATTATAATTCTCGGTAACTGAGATGCATATAATTTAAGTCTCCACTTTCTGTTTTTCTAGTTTATTAGGAAGTTTCTGATTGAAGCATCAAAACTGACTCACAATATTCCCTCAGAAACCTCAGGATGATTAGGAAGTAACTTCATTTAAAAGTTAATGGGTAAACTGTACCCTTCAAATGTGTGAAATTGTATATCTCAATAATGCCTTTTAAAAAGTTAATGGAATTTCCATCTTGCTGTCATATTGGTTTCATTAATTTAGTCAAATACAACAAGGGAAAAATGAGCACCTCAGTGTTTATTACATTACTGCTCAGAGCACGACAGCCTCCCTGAAACAAAAATATTAATCCAGTTCATATTTGTAGCAGCAACTTTGAGGACTAAATTTCTAATCAAACCTTGTGATTTGTTTTTCCCTGAAAATCTTTTGCTAATCAAATGTCAACTTACACCAGTAGTTTGAGCCACAAATTTTGCTCTCTCACAACAAAAAGAAAGATCCTTACTTCCCCCAGCACAGAGAGCGACAAAGGACGTAACAAAAGTTTCCCTGAGCAAACATTGCTCAAAAAAACCAAAAGACCAACCACAGCAGAAATGCTTACTTAAATAAACAACAGAGATAGCAGCATAGAACAAATAGCTAAAAGCTATTGTGTGGGGGTCAACACACCACCAATAGCTTTCAGTTTATATAAACCTTATTTATAAGATTCTTATAAATCTTAGGGCTCAAACTGCATGCCAAAGACTTCCAGCTTGTCAAGGTGAGGTTACCTCAAAAAAAAAAAAAAAAGAAGCAACTTTCTTCATAATGTTAGTATGAATATGAATACAAATATATCATGTTTTTTAATAGAAAATTATTTTCCATTTAGTTGCTATTCATCTTGACATAGAAGACGTGTAACCATCGTCTCAAGGCTGAAGTGCCTTTCCACGGGAACAAACACATCAATTTTTTTTCTTGTTGATGAAAGACTTTGATCTAAGTTGCAGAAAATCACTTCATAACTAACTTTGTAATGTGGCGCTTAAACAAATCCAGAAAGTGTTTTTCAAAATGGCACATAGAAAATATGTTTTACCATGCTTCTCTATTTCTTCTACTTAAATTTACTATAATTAATCTTTTTTTAAACTCACAATACATTATTAAAACAGCAATACAAGCAAATTCTTAAGTGATTATTTAATAATCAGTAAAATTCCTTCCATGAAGGAATGAAATAGGTGAGTAATTTTAATGCAAAATTAATGGTCTTTATTTCATTTGAGATAGAACATGGAAAAGGGTCATCTCAAAATGTTAGAAAATACTTTTTAAAAACAAAAAGATTTTTCTATTTTAATTTCAGGAGGGAAATGGGCTAATTGATGTCATATACTTAATTTTGACTTTAATGATGATAAAAGTTTTCAAATGTACTTTTCCAAGGGGAAACACCATTATAGTTATTGGCTATTTCATTTACATTTTAGTTTACTATTTCACTCATAACTAAAGGAGTTAAAAAGAAAACGCGATGTACAGAATAATAATAGACACATATCCATTCAACGTTTGAATACCATCTACACATGAGATGCTGTTCGTACATTATTCCATTTATAAATACACATATGTGTTTAATTTAGTACATACCACAAGTAGATAGGTGCTTAACACATGCATTTCATGGTAGCCTGGTAGTTACAGATAATGTGGTTAACTTCAGCAGACAACATCTGTGTTACACATATGGCCATCAAAATAATTGTGGCATGCTTTTGTGACACTGAAAGAGGCCAAGCCTGTTGCAAAATGATTACTTCCAACAAAAGCCTGCTTAAATTATTGTTTAGTTAAATGGCACATATCCAAAATAACAGCATTATAAAGTTGCTATTGCCTTTGAATCACTCACCAATTTTCAACGTATTTGTAAAACAAGATAAGCACCATCAGGTTATAAAAAGCAATTATGGATCAGGATTTTTTATTCATGTTTCTTTGACAAAATTATTCCATTTGATCCCGAGTCTTGGCTGCTCTCTTGACAGAATAATGTACATGCTCCACAGCTGACAGGGATATGGCTTTCATGATTAAATAGGAAGCTCACACTCCAGATGACTTTATAGACTTTGCACTTCAGAAAGATTTCTTTGTTGGTTTAGTATCAGATCATCCGTTATCTTTTTCTAATGGTTTCTTTCCCCGAGCCAAAGAGAATCTATGTATTATCAAAAATTTATGGGTTTTTTTTTTATTTTTGCCTATTTGCACAGTACACCAAAGAATGTTACATCATCTTGAACAGTTCTTTTCCTGATTTCATGGGGGTGGAGGGGTGGAACATAAAGCAAAAGGTGAAAATATAAAATTTGAAACACCCTTTTCCAAGAGTCTTTTCCTGGCTTTTAAAGGAAACACCAAACGAGAATCTGATTGACTTTTGCTTTTTATAGTTACTGGAAAACAACTGCTCAAAACAATTTCCTAAAGGAAGGGTTAACTTTATCTTGTGACTTTAATTGATCATTTTGCCCCCGCCCCCATCTCCAGCAGAAGAACGACACCTGTGAAATTAGAATTCTGTACACCAAGAATGGTAACATCAAAGCTGAAGCTTTTAGCCAGGAACAGTTACTCTGGCGTGCATAAAGCTATGTAAAAACTGATTCACACAAGGAAATGACCAGGGCCTACGCCATTAGGATTAACTTCTGACATACAAGACTAGAAGAGGAAGGATACTGGCAGCTTGAACTTCTTTCTCAGACCTCCAGCATTACCAGGGTGGAGAGTGGGGGACAATAGTGGGGGGGGGGGGGGGCGGTAGCCCCTCACCAGACTCAGCTGCTAAGGTTACTTAAAAAGCTCCCGTGATTTAAATACGGAGAAAGAGAAACAAAACGTTCCGAATTCCGATCACCTTTTGGTAACTACGTGGTTGCAAGAGCTAAACAAGCGCGCAGGCGCGTCGTCGGTCAGGTTGTCAACCATAAACATAAGAACTCTTCAAAATTAAGGAAGTGGATCTCTGCAATCTCCCACAGCCTTTTTGTTTGGGTTCTCTAGGTTAATAGTAGTGATTCCATTTTAATGACCTACAGACAGGCGCAAAGTTATTTACCGAGTCGCTTTGAGAGATGTTTACTTAAATATGGGGATAAAACCAGTTCGCTTGTGGAACTGGAAATTATCTTCCGTCCAAACGTAGCATTACTCATCTACAAACCCAGGGAACACAATCACAGCCACCCAGTAAATGTGTTTCTGCGAGTCAACTAGATTACTTCCCCAATGACACTAACAGAAAAAAGCCTCAACAAAGCCACGGGAAACCGTGCCTTCAACACTGTATTCAGCCTGTATATTCAGGTTTGCGCGTCTTTGGAGCTGCGGGGGCCTTAGATGCTTTTGGAGGAAACCAGTCCCGGGAAGAGTTTGGGTCTCAGTTGCAGGACTGTGGGTTGCAGCTGAGAGTCGATGAGCGAACACCCTTTGAGACGTGAAACTTACTTCCCTTTATGAAGGGACTCGAAGTGAATCCACCCCGACACGTCCACACTCCACCTGAGCGCAGGGCAGCTGCGGCTCCTTCCCACCGCGCAGAGAGCAGTCGCCGGCCGAGACCCGTGACAGCCCTCAGACAAAGCCTAGGACCCCCGCGCCCGCCCGGCTGCCGATCCCCGGAACACGCCCCCGGCCCGCGCCTACCTTGATGCCCTGCTGCTGGGTGGTGAGGGTTAACTTGGATTCATTCAGAAGCAAAACTTCGCAGTAAAATTCTTCTGGAACAGCGCAGAAGCAGCCCATGTTGGCTGTGGCCGTCTCCAGCCAGGAGAGAAAGCTGCGACCCAGGCGCCGAGCCGCCCCCTCCCCTCAAGCGCGAGGCATTAATTTATTGTCCGCGCCGGGGCCAGGGCGAGGGGACCGGTTCCCGGCGAGGTCCAGGGCCGCGCGGACGAGCCGCCCGGCGCCGGCTGGAGGGAAGGAGGGCGGAGAAGCCCGGAGTCAGCGCCCGGGAGCCGCCGGGGAAGCGCCGGCGGAACTGAGCACAGAGGGCGGCGGCGCGTCCCCGCGCATCCTGCGGCTCGGGCTCCTCCGAAGGCGGGGGCGCCGCGGCCCCTCCCGCAGTCCTGGGGACGACAAAAGTCGTCTGGCAATGGGGGCAAGAAGCAAGAAAAGGGAGGAATGCGAGCTCGAGGCCCTCCCCAGACGAGGAAACCCTTGGGAGCTGTGCAGCCCCCTCCGCCTGTCCCCGGCCGAAATGCTACCGAGACACCCGGCCTCCTTCCCCTGTGGAGTCCCCGGAGGGCTCCCACTTCCAGCTCCGACCCCACCCCGCAGCCCCCAGTCCGGTGCGCCGACTGGGGAACACTCGGCTGTTCCTTTGTGTCAGGGGTACCCGCGACGTCCCAGTCCCACGGCAGGGCCAGTGGCGAGGATCGTCACTCAGTCTACTTCGGCCACCCGGAACCCCGAGAAGTATCGGAAAGGGCAGCGGGCTCCTTACCAAGACTGGCGAGTGCAAGTCAGCTCGTGGCGGGACGCGGCTCCCGTCTGGGGACCGTGGAACTCATCACGGGGGGTTGCGTGTGCCTAAGTTCAAGCTGGCCCTCCGAGAACGCCTTTGCTGCGGCGGCGGAGCGCTGCTCCTCCTGGATTTCCAGAGAACTGGGGAGTCAGAGGGCTTGCAGGCGCGCCGGCGGGCGGAGAAGCGGGCGCCCAGGCTGGGAACGCGCTGGCGGGCGGGTGGGGGTGTGCCCTGGACGCGCAGGCCGCGGCGGCTCCCGGGAAAGTTCTCTTGGCTGCGCGAGGGGTGGCGCCCCGGGCGGGAGCAGCCCAGGTGCACCTGGGCCGGGCCCGAGTGTCTGCAGAGAGCCCTGGAACGAAGCTGGGGCCCAGAGGCCGGGAAGGGGCGCCCCTTCCGGGCGGGGTCTCGGCTGAGAGCGGAAGGCGGAGCGGAGGTGGTCCAACGGCGAGGTGCGGGCAGGTCCGCACCGGATCCCGCGCGCACCACCCCGGCCGCTCGGCTGTTCGGAGCCCTGGTTCTGATTGCTGTAGCCGTTTCCCGGGGAGACGGAAGGTTGGCTCTAGGAAGGCCGGGCGCAGTTCTGCTCGGACCCTGGCGTTCGGCGCTCCCAGTCCCACGCCCTCCGCACGGCGGGTCTTGTCCAGGAGTGGCGGGCACAATAGCTCTGAGGCTGCAGTGACCCCTGGTGGGTCCTCGAGTCCGTGCACAAGCAGCCGAGGCTGAGCGCAGGATGAGGCCGGGCCCCGCTGGACTTCGGAGCAGGTGCAGTCGGTGCTCTCCAGCTGGGAACCAGCAGCGAGTTAATGCGAGCCGAGAGGACGTGGGCCGGGGTTGACGGTAGGCCTCCCAGAAAACTTCCCTACTTTATATATATTGAGTGTTAGAGCAAGAGCTTTGGCATCAAACATAGTTTTGAGTTCCCTCCTCTACCACTTACAAGCTAGGTGGTCAAAACTCACAAAATTTGCTTAAAACCTAGGACATTAGTAACCTAAAAAAAAATTTTTTTAAGAAAAAAAAAAACCGAGTAGAATGGAAATGAACAATTTGCAACTTTAGAAGGAGTTTCCTTCCATAGTGATTTTCCACAAAGGACCTTCTAAGGCTTCTCCTTTCCTGATATCTCAGCCCCTTCTAAACATGAATTAACACAATCCCCAAAGTGCAATAGATAAACCCTCATGTTTAATGCGAATTTTACCTAAAGCTAAGAACCAAACCCTGTTGTATCTTCCAAGCCTTCTGTGAAATTGAAGCAGGTTTTGAATTCCTAATCAAATTCTGTGTCCAACTTTGGGCTGTACTGTCAATGTTTTGCCTGACATGAGCCAACACATTATTTTGAATTTTAGCGTCCTTACCTCAGGAGGCTTTTCTGTAACAGAACGTTCCTGACATAAATTACCAAATGTGATTGAAAGGCTTCATAACAGACTTCCATTCTTTACCACAATATCCAATAGGGTCACCTGTGCTTGCAAAAACAAAAGATAAAGTCCAAGTTGCAATGACTTGTTTTCCAGTTTAGAGTTTTGTTGCTACCTGTTTTATGCCCTTTGACTTTGTTTTGTTCTGGTTTTACCGCCAGTGGTAATGGAAAGGCTGGGGGTTTGAGGTGGGGACAAGGATTCTGTTCCAGGCCCCTCAGGAGGGAAAGTACAAAGCTGTGAAGTCTCATACATATGACAGCCCTTTCTGAGTGAGGCATTTTCTTTTCCATTTCTTTGTGAGAGATTGAAGAAAAGAAAAAAAATCTAACACAAAATTGGAGTGTCCTAGAGATAATAGGAAGATCCCACGTGTTGTTTTCTTTTTTTAAAACAGCCTTATTGAGCTATAATTGGCATACAGTAAACTGCATATATTTAAAGTTTATAGTTTCATAAGTTTGACATATGTATACATGAAACCAGTGCTACAATCAAGATAGCAAAGTATTCATCACCCCTAAAGTTTCCTCCTGTACCTTTATAATTTTTCTCTCTCATTCCTCACCACATCTCACCTGCCAGGCAACCACAGATCTGCTTTCTGTCAGTATGGCTTCTCTGCATTTTCTAGACTTTTCTATAAATAGGATAATAGTGCCAGATTTTTTTTTTAATCTGGTCTGTTTTCATTCAGCATAATTGAGATTTATCCATGTTGTTGTATATATCAGCAGTTCATTCATTTGTATTGCTCAGTAGTATTCCTTAGTATGTATAAACCACAATTTGTTTATCCATTCATATGTGTGCTTTTCAGTTTTTTACTATTAGAAATAATACAAATATTACAAGTCCTGCTGCTATAAGGATTATACCAGTCAGCTCAGGCCACCATAACAAACTGCCACAGGCTGGGTAGCTTAGACAACAGACACTTACTTTCTTATAGTTATGGAAGCTGGCAGTCCAAAATCAGGGTGCCATCATGGTTGCTTACTGGTGAAACCTTTCTTCCTGGTTTATACGTGCCTGCCATCCCACTGGGTGCTCACATGACCTCCTCTTTGTTGGGAAGCATGATAGTTAGCACAAGCCTACAGTGTCTCTTCTTATAAGGACACTAAACCTATTATATCAAGACCCCACCCTTATGACCTCTTTTAACCTTAATTACTTCATTATAGGTCCTACCTCCAAATACAGTCACATTGGGGGTTAGAGCTTCAACATGTATATTTGGAGGGGACATAGTTCAGACCATAGTGAGGATCCCTGTCTTTGTATGGACATGTGGTTTTATTTCTCTTGAAATAAAAAAGAGTAGACTAGTCGGATCATAAGATCTACAATGGCAAATGAGCACATGAAAAGATGTTCAGCGTCATTAAGGAGATGTAAATTAAAATCACCATAAGGCACCACTACAGACCTTATAGAATGGCTACCATACCACCATACCAGTATCAGTAAGGATGCAGAACAATTTGAATTCTCATACACTGCTAGTACAGATTAAGATGGTACAATCACTCTGGGTAACACTTTGACAGTTTCTGAAAAAGTTGTACATAGACCTTCCACAGGATTTTGGAGGAGGACTTTCTCTGCCTAGCCAAAGAAATAAATTAACAAGATACTATTCAAACACATTTTTCCCCAGGAAAATAGTATAGTTTTCAACATGTGCATAACATAATACAGCCAATTTAAAGCCTTGTGCCAAAGCCTTTGATCTCTTTTCAGAGATTTTTAAGAAAAATACTTTCTTTGGTCAAGATGACATTTTGTCATAATAAGCCTATGTAGATGAGTCAAATGACAAACAAGTTCACAGTAGATATAATATTATGGAAATATGTAGACCATCTGTGAAGGACTGCAGGAACTTCCATCCTGGAAAAAGCAATTTCACTCTACATGGAGCAAGCTCCCACCCCTTGCTGAAACATGCGCTGCAAAATGCCAGACAGAATTCTTTTTAAAGCACCATATTCCTTTTAGGAAGATGTCTTTAAACAGTCTATGTCTTTCATCATCCTTTTTAATTTTACATTTTCCAAACTTTAGAAAGTTAACTGTGATTTGCAAAAGGAAAAAACACCATATAAAACACTGACAGTAAATAATTTAATTACTTAACTACCCAAAGGCAATGCAGCAGAATCACCAGGAAGACTTATCAAAACATAGATTGCTGGCCCCGCCCCCAGAGTTTCAGATCCAGTACCTGTGAAGTAGGGCCTGAAACTCTGCATTTTTAACAAATTCTCAGGTGATACTTATGGTGCTGGTTTGAGAACCACTGCTCTAGAGCTTATCGCTCCAATAAATAATAAAAGTTGGTCCTAATTACCTATAAATAATTTTTTCAAAGGGGGTGTCTCATTCTGTACCTCCCTATCAATCGATCCCATTCATCAAAATAATGCCTGTCAAGGAAAAGAGTATTGAAGACCCTGCCAAGTGGCTATATCAGAAAGAGTAGTTTTTAAGGAAGATAAAAATCCCTGTTTTAGTTTTTGACATACTACTGCCTATTTTATTTGAACACCTTGCTCATTTTTCTTTCTAATATAGTATGTGCTCAGGCACATCCCGTTTTTAAGACCATCCTGCCTTCTGACTCACTTCATATATATGTTGCTAACCAGCCATTCTCTTCTCCTAAAGCCTTAGATCCCATTTATGAAATGCCTCAAGGGTGTTACCCACATTTCAAGAGAAGTCATCTCCTAAAACAACAGTCTAATCTGTTTCTTCATCTTTGTGATCTCCATATAAATGTTCTTTGGGGTTTACTGAAAATCCTTATTTTGCAGTTTTTAATCCTTGTTGGTGAATGCAGTGATATGGTTTGTATTTAGTTTGAATGGTTTGGAACTTTCACTTTGAAAATACCCTAGTTTCCCTTTCACTGTTCATATATATGCTATTTAAAAAAAAATGGGAGCGGGAAAGCTAGTTGATAAGTCTAGTCCTGTTGGGGACTTTTTTTTTTTTTTTTTTTTTTTTTTAGTTTTTTAAACAACCGATTAACATTCTTTGCCTATTGGATTGAGAGAGATCCCAAGATGGCCAAGAGTGGGTAAAAAGGGCACTTTGATACATTGTTGGTGGGGTTGTAAATTGATTCAGGCTCTCTGGAGTGCAATCTGTCATAAATACAATAATTTAAATATGTGTACACTTTAAACCAGAAATTCAACATCTAGGAATTTAGAGATTTACTACAGCATGTTTATAATATTAACACTCTTTAAACAACCCACATGCTCAATAATAGGGAGTTGTTATATTAATTCTAGTGGATGTGTCTAATAGAATTTCCAGCAGCTATTAGAAAAGATGAAATGGATGTATATAAACTGACATGGAAAGTTATCCAAGGTACACAGTGAGGTAAAAAAAAAAAAAAAAAAGAACAGCTTATATAATAGTGCATATAGAAAGGTCCATTTTTGTTTTTTAAAGAAAGTTTGGATTTTTTCACAATGAGCATTAGTTTAAATGAAAATAGATTTTTTAATATTAAGTAAAAGAATGTCATTAGTGGTTAACAAAATTAACCTTCTTTTAAAAATGAACTATTTTTTTTTGAGGCATCTGAGTTGCTCAGTCAGTTGAGCGTCCTACTTCAGCTCAGGTCATGATGTCTCAGTCCATGAGTTCAAGCCCCACATCAGGCTCTGTGTTGACGGCTCAGGGCCTGGAGCCTGCTTTGGATTCTGTGTCACCCTCTCTCCCTCTCTCTCTGCCCTACCCCCCTCCCCCCGTTCACACTGTCTCTCTAAAAATAAATAAACATTAAAAAAATTTCTTTTTAAATGAACTACTTTTCTAGGTGCTAACCTGGACTCTAATGACTATTTTACCTGCTTCGTATATTCTTGTTCATACCCTGAATAAAGCATATGAGGTTAATTTCATTAACATCAATTTAATGACATGGATATTTATCCACCTATAGAAATTTGAGGAAAGAATGGGGAAATTAGCTTTAGTTATCCCACATTTTTTTGATTTTAGGTCTAACTAGCCACGTGATCTTAAAGAAGTCCCATCATCTATGCCTCAGAATGTTCTTCTATAAAGGACCTGGGACTTGTATTCTGGTGCTTCTAGATCTTCATGCCCAGCATGCTGCTTTCCCATCCCTTTCTTCTGGAAACAACACATTGCCTTCTTGTAAGGGTGGTATCCCAGGGAAGGAACAACCCAGTATAACATCTGGCAAAAAAAAAAAAAAAAAAAAAAAAAAAAATCTGAAG